TCCCGCGCTTTACTGTGTTCACATATTTTCCCGCGCTTGACGGCTCGTCAGCTTCAAAGCTCAACCAATCGGTAACCTTTTCGCGCTTAGCACCATTCACACGTTTTCGCACGCTTGTCACGGGTAGCATGTTTTCTGACACCTGTGACTTGTTCTCCAGCTCCTTGCAGTGTTTGCTTGTCTCGTCTCGTAGACATCGGTTACACTTTTTCCTTGGATTGATTCCATGTTTCCGTGCGCTTGGCACAGGTTAAAAATTTTCCCTCGCTTGCAATAAATTTAATTTTCCCACGCCTGGCAATGGTTATACGTACGTTTCTTTTAAATTCCGATTTGTTTACTTTCTAGTTTGCCTCGTTTCTCCCACGTCTTTAGAATCTTCATGTTTTGCTGGCTTGTTGTATTTTAGGTCTCCGCTGTGTGGTCAAGTCAAACCGATGTCCCAGCTACTGACTGTGACAATTCAGGTTGGGTGTTAAGAACTTGCCGAAAGAGCTGCAAGGCCAAATGTGACGCGGCACCCCTGAGACCTGACGGTTTGTTATGCCAGTTGTCTTCGATAATGTTAAATAAGCTTAATATCTCATGACCAAATGGGAGGTCCAATTGAGATTATGTTTGGGTGGAGGTAAAGAAGTATGGGTTAAGGCAACGAGTTCCTATAGATTGCCCGAGAGTAGATTTTCGTCGGGCCTGGCTCAGTCTTAAGTCATTGTGTGTTCAAAATCTCTATTCAGTGATATGTTACTTCATTTGAGTTGGAGTGTTTTAACGATTACTACTTGTAAATTTTGGCTAGAAAAAAAAGAGAAAGAAAAAGAATAAAACAAAGCTGTGAACTACGACACCTTTATATGTTGCTGTCATTTTCCAGACAATTGTTCTTGTCCGTGCAAAACTCACGTTTATTTTAGACCCACCTCTCTAACATCCTTAAAAGTGGCTTACGAAGAGTTACTTTGATGTAGTTTTGAGGTCTTGTGACTAAATATAATAATTACTAAAACTGCTAGAATTAACTCATGCAGAAATAAGTAGCTTATATCTTATTTTGGTTCATTTTCAGTTTTTCGGCTCACCCACTCGATTAGCCCGAGCTATTTGTATGATCGAAACCCTATATAACCGCAGTTAGTTCCAGAGTTAAATCTAAAAACGTTGTTTTCAGGTTCCTGTGCTGATTCACTTGGTCGTGGTTGGGATAACCGACTCCCTGACAGCGCATTCACTGCCTCTTCACAGCTGTCTCCTGGTAAGAAACGTTTGAGTTACTTGGCAAGAGTGGATTTCACTGTGGAAAGTACGCAGTGAATTATGTGCAGTTACTTTGGCTTCGCGTTTGCTCTGGTCCATAATCGGTTCATGTAGCCAGCACCAGTTAATGAGACAAAACTTCCTGTTTTTACACCAGTCTGAATCAGTAGAGTTCACAACTGTCTTCGCCTGTAACGATTTTGTTTTCTTTTTCAATCGGTGGTTGGTGGGCGTTGCCTATGTAACGCACGCCTCTATTTTGAGGATGATTATGATAACAAACGTATCGGCAGCTGTTGTGCAGTGGATAGAAGTCCACAGTGGCTGAGGATTCACTTGGGACAGACTAAGACCATCACAGGAATCGCTACTCAAGGTTAGATTGTATGGGTATTCAGTTACAAGGTCAAATATAGAATCTTATTACTTATCACCATACATTTCTTTGATATCAGTTATGAGAATTTGTTGTTACATCGAGACAATATCTGTTAGTTGATGATTTTCTTTATTCTTATCAACTGTGTGCTTGGTAATGTACTACACTGTACAAGCAGAGAACTAAAGAGAGAAATCAGTTATTGATCCCTCGTGAACAGGACATAAGGATTGCTTTACGTTCAACATGTCTCTTGCCGGCATGAATGAGCGAAGTTAAGGCAAAATCCCGGCTATACGAAATCGAGCAATTTCAGTTTTTAATTTACAAAAACCTTGTACCAGAATAAATGTAAGTATATCTCAGTCCTTTTGCTATTTTCTAAAAGCTAAAGATATAAACGGTTGCCTGAGATCACACCAAGAAAGAATTTCTCATGGGAAGTGGAGAAAATAAATTTCAAAGTTCGGAGAAACTGTGCAAACACAAGTGAAATTTCATCATCAGTTTCATTTCACCAGTACTTTCAAATGTTTGATATGAATTTCAAAATTTGTTTTCGACATGTGGTGTTGTTAGAAATGATTTCTTTTGAGAAGATATTTAGAACAGTCACACAGAAGTTTCCAATACAATGTAAATAATCTCGGTTCAAAGTTTTTGTCCGCTTTTTACTCGAACTTAGGTGGCGTCTTTCTTAATGTGTCGTTCACCTTAACTGATTAAATTCTACTTAGTATAAGATTTCCATTCTAGG